CATCCCTTAATATTTGAAAACATCACTTAGATCTAGCCAAAAGAACAGCTTTCATAAAGTAAAGGATTTTAAAAAATAAAGATCATGTAAAACAAAATTGTCATTCCCTTCATTCAAATAATATTTCTTCTTATGGGAACAGTGGAATGCCAACAGATTCAAAATCAGCATTCTTCTAGAAAGTTATAAGATTTAAAAAAAAAAAAACAACTATGGTGCTCACACAGTAGTAATATTCTCCAGGGATTAGAGGGTTTGGGGGGGGGGAGATTCGCAACTAATGGACACAGTGAGCATTGTAGAGGGGAAGGGCATGCCTCTAATCCTCCCTTGGGTGAGGCAAAGACATAAAATGTAACCAAAATGTTTGTGCCCTCATAATATCCTGAAATTAAAAAAAAGAATTAAAAAAAAAATCAGCAAGACCACTCCAAGGTAGCCATATACATACATCAGATCATCTTTTTATTCCTCACACTGCTACTTAATTTTTCGTTAAAGTAGCTTTAAAAAAGATTTTAATTATAAAAAAAAAAAGATTTTAATTAGCTGGGCATGGTGGTGCGTGCCTGTAGTCCCAGCTACTCTGGAGGCTGAGGCAGGAGGATCGCTTGAGCCCAGGAGGCTGAGGTTGCTGTGAGCTATGATGACGCCACAGCACTCTAGCCCAGGCAACACAGTGAGACTCTGTCTCAAAACAAAAAAAAAAAAAAAAAGATTTTAAATACATTTAAAGATCTAATGTCTACTTAAGTATTTAACCTATGGAATCTAGAAATAAACTAAAAACAAACATTTTTAAATAAAGATAAGCTTTCAAAAACTAGTTCTTTTAAAAATTGTTTTTCTAAATGAAGAAAAACAGTTTGCTAGAAATTTAGGTTAAAACCAAGAAAAAAACATCCAAATGATTTTTATTTATTTGTTAGCACCCTAAAAATAACTTAGTGGATAATTTGTTTCCTTTCTCCTTACTATAACAAAAAGGCTGAAACACTTTATCAAATCAAAAGGGATCAAAATTTCATTTTACATTTAAAAATATAAATAACAGCAATTCACTTACCAGCACCTCAGACATCTTCTATGAACGTATTCGTTTATTTTTTAAAGCACCAAAGTAAAAACATTATAATAATAACAGGTTGTATAATAAGCTGTACCACCTCCAGGATTACTACAAAAGTCACAAGAAAGCTGCTTTGCAGTTCACAGATTGAATTCCCCTATCCACAAATACTATCCTGTTAATACTCTTTAGGTACAACAAAAAAAAAATATTTTGTTAAGTTTCTTCTTTGATTATCATTTCACTGATATTTCTCCACGCTCTGTGTTTCAACACTTGTATTAATAAAATTAACTACCAAATGCACCTTCTACAGTATTGTTCCTTCCCTTCTCCTCCTCAATCTCAAGTGATCAGACTCTGCACCCTTTTACATGAAACTCATCGGTGAACAGAGTCCACCAACATTTATTAAATGCCTTTGACTAGTCAATTGCTCTGATAGGTAATCTTAAACTTCATGCGTTATCTTAACCTTCAGAAGGAAGTTATAACTGAAAAAAAAAAAAAAGGGTATCAACTATGCTTATTACGTCTTTTCACTGAATGCATATCTATTCTTCTGTTAATGGTGACTAATACTACAGGCCATGGCTCACGCCTGTTTGGGAAGATTGCTTGAGGCCAGGACTTTGAGCATGCAGTGAGCTATGATGGCACCACTGCACACCAGCCTGAGCAACAGAGTGAGATCCTGTCTCTTTAAAAAAAAAAAAAAACAGGCCCAGCGCGGTGGCTCACGCCTGTAATCCTAGCACTCTGGGAGGCCAAGGCGGGAAGATCGCTCAAGGTCAGGAGTTGGAGACCAGCCTGAGCAAGACCAAGACCCCTGTCTCTACTAAAAAATAGAAGGAAATTAGGTGGACGACTGAAAATATAGAGAGAGAAAAAAAATTAGCCGGGCATGGTGGCGCATGCCTGTAGTCCCAGCTACTCGGGAGGCTCAGGCAGAAGGATTGCTTGAGCCCAGGAGTGTGAGGTTGCTGTGAGCTAGGCTGACACCACAGCACTCTAGCCCAGGTAACAGAGTGAGACTCTGTCTCAAAATAAAAAAAAAAGTAAAAAAGAAAACTTACACTTCAAATAGAGCTTACTGAGAAGAATCCCTTAAATGGTGCTAAAACTGCTGTTAAGCATTGTAATGGAGAAAAAAAGCTCTCATTTTATATCTATTTTAAAAAGGATTTGTATCCAAAATATACAAAGAACTCTTTAATTCAATAAGAAACTCCAATTTAAAAATGGGCAAAAGAGCCAGACATAAAAGTTCACAAGAAATATACAAATGGCTAATTAACACACGAAAAAATATGCTTATTAGTCATCAGGGAAACACCAATCAAAGCCACAATAAGATACCAGTAAGAAATGAAAATGTTTACACAAAGAAATATATATGTTTATGACAGCTTCACTCATGATTTCCAAAAACTGAAAACAACTCAAATGCCCATCAACAGGTAAAGAAAGAATAAACAATCTGTGATATATCCATACAACGGAATACTTCTTAGCAATAAAAAGGAATAAATCAGTGCTACACTCAACATGGCTGAATCTCTAAATCAAACTGAGCAAAGGAAGCCAAATACAAAAAAAGACACAATGTGTCATTAATTATATGAAATTCTAGTAAAGGCAAAACTAATCCAGGATGACAAGAAGCACATCAGTGGTTGCCTGGAGCTGGGAGGGGGCAACTGCAATGCAACAAACTTTTACAGATAATGAATGTTCTAATATCTTCATGTTGTGGTAGCTGTGCAGGCATATACCTTTGTCAAAACTCACAGAACAATACACTTAAAATGAGTATATTTTATTGTCTATAAATGATACCTCAGTAAATTAGATTAAAAAATTCAAATCTGATCATTTCACTGTTCTAAGTCTCCCATTTTCCTCAGAATAAAGAGGCCTCTTGAACCAAATAGTTAGCTAATTTATGAATGCAAAGGAATAGTTCTTGAAGGAAATTAAAAGTGCTATCCCAGTGAATACACAAATAATTAGAAAGCAAAACAGCCTTATTGCTGATGTTTTAGTGGTCTGGATAGATCAAACCAGCCACAACATTCCCTTAAGCCAAAGCCTACTCCAGAGCAAGGCCCTAACTCTCTTCAATTCTATGAAGGCTGAGAGAAGTGAAGCAGCAGCAAAAGAAAAGTTTGAAGCTAGCAACGGTTAGTTCATGAGGTTTAAGAAGCCATCTCCATAATACTGAAGTGCAAAGTAAAGCAGCTAGTGTTGATGGAGAAGCTGCAACAAGTTATCTACCTCGAAGATCTAGTTAAGATCACTGATGAAAGTGGCTTTACACTTAAACAGATTTTCAATGCAGACAAAACAGCCTTCTACTGGAAGAAGGTACTATCTAGGACTTTCACAGCTAGAGAGATGTCGATGTCTGGCTTCAAAGCTTGAAAGGACAGGCTGATTCTTCTTGATAGAGTCTAATGTAGCTGGTGACTTTAAGTTGAAGCCAATGTGCACTTATCATTCTGCAAATCCTAAAGCCCTTAAGAATTATAATAAATCTACTCTGCCTGTGCTCTAGAAATGGAACAACAAAGCCTGGATGGCAGCACAGGATCTACTGAATACTTTAAGACCACTGTTGAAACCTACTGTTCAGAAAAAAAGATTCCTTTCAAAATATTACTGTTCATTGACAATGCATCTGGTCACCCAAGAGCTCTAATGGAGATATATAAAGGCATGTTGCTTTCATGCCATACAATATCCATTCTGCAGTACATGGATCAAGGAGTCATTTGACTTTCAATTCTTATTATTTAAGAAATATATTTCATAAGGCTATATATAGTTGCCCTAGATAGTGATTCTTCTGATAGATCTGGGCAAAGTAAGTTGAAAACCTTCTAGAAAGGATTCATCATTCTAGATGCCATTAAGAACATTCATGGCCAGGCGCGGTGGTTCACGCCTGTAATCCTAGCACTCTGGGAGGCCAAGGCAGGAGGATCACTCAAGGTCAGGAGTTCAAGACCAGCCTGAGCAAGAGCGAGACCCTGTCTCTACTAAAAAAAAATAGAAAGAAATTAGCTGGACAATTAAAAATATATAGACAAAAACTTAGCAAGGCATCGTGGCATGCGCCTGTAGTCCCAGCTACTCAGGAGGCTGAGGCAGAAAGATTGCTTGAGCCCAGGAGTTTGAGGTTGCTGTGAGCTAGGCTGACGCCACAGCCCTCTAGCCCCGGCAAGAGAGTGAGCCTCTGACTCAAAAAAAAAAAAAGAATCTTATTAGCTTGCAATAGATTTAAGAGTCTTAAAGATTATTTTCTGGCAGAGGTGACTAGAATATCAACTAAGAAAGGAGTATTTGGTGGTAAAGATTAACTACTACTTTGTCACATAACTACCGCAATGCTGAAACTCAAAAAGTATGATCTAATACATTTTGTTGTTGGAAAAGCAACAAAAGAACAATGAGAAGACCTGTCAGGCAAGTGTTTCAGACTTCGATTCAGATTCTGTGTCTTATTAGCTACCCAACAGTGGACAAATCATTTAACTTCGCAGTCTAAATGTCATCACATTTTAAATATTTTAAATGGATCTATTACCTATCAAACTTCACAAGAATACTACAAGCTCAATGAAAATGTATACAGCAAAGCTGCTTTATAAATTACAAAGCACCACCCAAATGCAAACTATCATTTATTTTAAAAAGCTAGGTAGACAGGTAGTATACACCCAAATGTATCAAACACATATATACATATAATATTATCCACTAGGATACAAAACAACAATTACATCCATTACAGAGATACTTGTTCTATATTCTCTTAAATTCTAAAATAAAAATTTATCTAAAACATTTTAATTTTTAAAATGTACCTATTTCATTAAAGATTAAATTCTATGAAGCAATAGCTAGAAATTTAACTGAAAATACTTACCTTAACAAAATTATCAGGGAACATTCCTCTTCTTCCATTTAATTCTCCTTCTAGCCATCCTTCTTCCTGTAGTTTTTTCACATTCCTGATGATTTCCCCAACTCGAATAGTTAATTCATCATCATGTATAGCATCATAATCATACTCCACAATATAGTCAACTAAAAAAGAGGAAAAAAGAAAATGTTTAAAATCTAATTCACAAAATACCATAAACCATATTAAGAAACTTAAAACTAAAGAATCTGTTTAGCAACAATTATACTACAAAGACATCAGGGCTTGTCTCAATAATTTTAAATATTTTGCTACATTAGCAAATTTCTTGAATACCTTAGTATGGAGCACAGTACAGCTTTTAAGTGGGAGTCTCAAAAGAAATACAATGCATAATTCATGTCATCAGATGTTCTTATAACCAGATATATACACTTTGTAGCAGACAACCCCTGAAGTGGTCCCATGATCCCCACCACCTCCTGGTATTCATGTCCTTGTATAATTCCCTCTCCTGGAGTGTAGATGTAGCCTCTGACTTACTTCTAACCAATAGAATATGACAAAGATCAAGGATTGTATGTGATTACATAAAATTGTAATGCCCACCTTGCTAGGAGACTCTCTCCATTGTTGGCTCTGAAGATGTAAGCTCCTATGTTGTAAGCTGGCCAGTGGAGAGGGTCACAAACAAGCAACTAAGGGAGGTCTCTGGCTGACAGCCAGCAAGAAAGTGAGGCCCCCCTACTCTAATAACCAGAAAGGAACTGAATAATGCCAACAACCACATGAGCTTGGAAACAGATTCTTCCCCAGCTGAGCCCCAGATGAGAACCAAACCCTGGTCAACACCTGTTCAATGCACCCTTGCAGAGGACCCAGCTACCTATGCCCAGACTCTTAAACAACACAAACTATGAGATGATAAATGTATATTGTTTTAAGCTGCTAAGTTTGTGGCAATCTGTATGGAACAACAAAAAAAACAAATACACTCTGAAATGAAGATTAATAAGTATCTATTTTACCTTCTTTAAGTATAGGACTTTAGATTATAGGACACCATATATGCACACGATTAATATTTTACAAGGGTCAATAAAAGAAAAGCAATTAACAGATTTCCTGTTGAAGCCAGCAAACTAGCCCATATCCCCAATTCATCTTTTCTTCCTCATGCCATGCAAGAATGATAAAAAAGAAAATAACAAACATACACACAACTACAACCCAGAAACACAAAAAACGGGAGTATGGCCAAACGTCTGTCAAATCAACAGCCATTCCCACATTGCTTATCCCTCTCCTTCCTTTCTCACAGAACCTTGATTTTGTTCAGATATTTTGAAATCCTACATCTTATAAGTGAAGCATCTCTCAGACCCATGGGGTTAGATCTTGACTGGTCTAGACCAGTACTTCTCAAATACCAAGTACAATTAAGTCTTCTGGGAAAGCTTGTTTAAATACAGACTCTGATGATTTCCCAAACTCGAACAGTTAATTCATCATCATGCACAGTATCATAGTCATACTCACAGTATGGTCAACTAAAAATGGGGAAAAAGGAAATGTTTAAAATCTAATTCACAAAATACCATAAACCATATTAAGAAACTTAAAACTAAAGAATCTGTTCAGCAACACTTATACTACAAAGGCATTATACTATGAAGTGCTGGGATAACTAATGCAAAGGTCTAGAGATAGTCCATTTTTAGTAATTCTAATCACATACAATTACACACACAGAGTGAATGGTTTTCAAATAGACATGGGATGAATGAATTCTGACCTTTATTCTGGAAAGGTTTTGTTTGACCTTTAAAAATAAAACACAAGGAAGGAATGGCCCTCTGCAAACTTCAGATGTTCTTTAATGAAGATATGATGCCCAAAACCACTACAACCATTTGGGACAAAAAAAACCAGGTGATATGATTAAGATGGAAGAGAATAAAGATGAAAACAATCTGGATCTTTGCTAGATTCATCAAACTGCTAGATTAACCAACCCAGAACTATAATATCTTCAGATTTCTTGTTACATGAAACAGTTTTTTCTTAATTTTTTAGACAGGATTTCTATTTGGAGCTGAAAACATCCCAACATGGTAAGGGAGCCACCAGGAAATTTTAACAAAGTTCTGAAAGTGGCTGCATAGCTGATAAAGCCAGGAAGAAGCACCTAAGAGAACTTAAGAGAGCCATACATGAGATATCAAACTATTCTTCAGAACCCCCAGAAAAGCCAGAGATTCAGAAAAGGTAGTCTCATATGAAATGCAGGGCTGAAAATAGGGAAATTACTCAATCTCTATACAGAAGAACTGACACCCATTATAAACCACAATAACTCAATGAGACAAAATGCTAAGTAGCCAGGCAGGGTCAATCTACAAAAAATAAATAAATGAATAAAAATAATTTGGGAAAACTAGTATATATACTATGGATGAATGCTGGTTTCTCAAAGAAATGACTACCAAGAAATTTAAAGATTCCCCCAAATCAATGGGCAGCCCCCAACCTGCTAATTTCAAAATAAAATTCTAAGTCCTACTGACATAAACAGAATTCCCAGTTAGCTGTTTATTTATTTATACTTTTATTCTTAAATAGGAACAGATAATAGTTTATCATGAAAGACTATGATAAACTGAAAAAAGTACTCCTAGAATGGGGAGTGAGAGCAGAAGAAGAGGGTGTCAGAGCAAGGGTGGGGAGTGAAGCAGAGATGAGAGATTGGTTACGTTTAGGCGGACTGGTCAAATTAGTAAATACATTAAGGATAAGGGGAGCCAAGTTTCTCTATGCCAGAGAAGGGAGTTACAAAACTAAAAAAGAAAAAAGCTGGACTCAATTCTGTGATATTGAACTGTAATGAGAAGTATTATAATAACATAATACATGAACTTACGGGTTTTTAATACAGAGAAATATAGATATAAATGTATATAGAGATACACATATAGATACACACACTCATTAATATAACACACACACACACTCTCTCTTTCTGGTTCTGAATGGAGACTGAAACCAGCAACATTTCAATGGCAATAAGCAAACCTAACACTGAGATCATATAAATAACACTTTCTACTAAAATGGAACCAGGAATCTTTGGGAATATGGCCAATTCCAGGGCTAGGCAGGAAAAGTACAATATAAGGCTAGAACATCCAGTTGTGTCAGAAAGAATGAAGTGATACCAGACACAAAGAATTGATATCAAAAGGGTTCCTACCAGCCAAACAGAATAATTAGAGCATCAAAATAATGAAATTAACAGAATATACCCCATTGAGGCCAGGCACAGTGGCCCACGCTTGTAATCCTAGCATTCTGGGAGGCTGAGGCAGGTGGACCGTTAGAGCTCAGGAGTTCGAGACCAGCCTGAGCAAAAGCGAGACCCTGTCTCTACTAAAAATAGAAAGAAAATTAGCTGGATGACTAAAAAATATATAGAAAAAATTAGCCGAGCATGGTGGTGCATGCCTGTAGTTCCAGCTACTCAGGAGGCTGAGGGAGAAGGATTGCTTGAGCCCAGGAGTTTGAGGTTGCTGTGAGCTAGGCTGACGCCACAGCACTCTAGTTCAGGCAACATAGTGAGACTTTGTCTCAAAAAAAAAAAAAAAAAGAATATACCCCATTGAACACAATAACAAACCATGAGTCCCCACAGATTATAAATCAATGTTAATTTCTTAAACTTTATGGCTATACTATGATCATGTTCTGGAGAGGAGATCATTCTGGTTTATAGAAAATATATACTAAAATATTTAGGTGAGCTGGTGGGACTGCAAACTAGTACAACCTCTGAGGAAAGTAATATGAACACACCTCAAAGAGCTACAAGTATAACTACCACTGGATCCATCAATCCCATTACTGGGCATCTACCCAAAGGAAAAAAAGACATTCTATAAAAAAGACATCTGCACTAGAATTTTTATAGCAGCACAATTCACAGTTGCAAAGATACAGAAACAACCCAAGTGCCCATCAATACATGAGTGGATTAATAAAATGTGGTATATGTATACCATGGAGTTTTACTTAGCCACAAAAAACAATGGTGATCTAGCACTTCTTACATTATCCTAGATAGAGCTGGAGCCCATTCTACTAAGTGAAGTAACACAGGAATGGAAAAACAAGCACCACATGTACTCACCATCAAATTGGTATTAACTGATCAACACTTAAATGCACATATAGTAATAACATTGATCGGGTGTCGGGCAGATGGGATCCCCTTCATTCCATCCCTTTCTCCCTCCTCCCATCTAATGGGTGCAGCGCGCACCACCTGGGGGATGGACACACTTGAAGCTCTGACTTGGGTGGGGCAAAGACAATATATGTAAACCTAAACATTTGTACCCCTGTAATACACTGCAATAAAAATTTTAAAAATAAAATAAAATAAAATATGTAGGTGAAAGATACTGGTCAGGAAAAAATTCTTTGTACTGTATGTCAAACATTTCTACAACTTAGTAATTATTTCAAAATAAAAAAGTTAAAAACACATGGTGCAATTTATATCCTCAAGAGAAAGACGTGATAAAATTCATAAAAGAACAGAATGCTATGAAAAAGAAATGAAAAAATGAAAAAGCTTTGAAAATTTATGTCTTCCAAAATATCTTATTAATTTTTTTGCAGAGTTGGAGATAAATCCAAGAAGTTTCCAAAACAGATAAAACAAAGAGACAAACAAAATATGAAAGCAAAGACATAATCAAGCCAACATCCATTTAACAGGAATTCAAGGAGAAAAGAAAATGGAGAATTAACAATGAAATAATACAACAAAATAATCCAACGCTAAATGAAACAAATGTTCAAATGGAAAGAGGTCTGTGACAGTCCAACACAATGAACAAATACGTATTCATACGTAGAGGAAATTTTACAAGAGCAGATCCTAAAAAGCTCTCTGAGAGGAAATAAAAAATTTATCTATAAAAGAATGAGGTGAGAATCATACTAGAAGACTTCTCATTAGCAATACTAGATTCTAAAAGAAAAAAATAAAAGGTCACTGAAGTACTGAAGGAAAATTAACTCCATGCTCTGCCAAATCAGCAGGCAAGCATAGTATGTACAAAGAAAATTAACTCCCACATATGAAATTACATGATGTTACCCA